GTTGGCAAACTTTCCAAAATTGACCAGATAGTAAATATTTTAAGTTTTGTGGGCTATATGTGACATGCATGATCAATTATAGAAGTCTTAATATGATATGCTCAGATTCCTTGTTTCAACTATCAACACTTCGACTGTAATGCAAAAGCAGGCCTAGACAATGTGTAATAAGTGGGCAGAGCTGTGTTTCATGGCATTTTTTTCTTCAGAACCATTGTCAGGCCAGATGCGGTGGCTTGCTGACCCCTGCTTTAGGGGATAGAGGAGTAATCAGAGGAAGGAATCTGAATTTCTAAACAAGTATCCCACTAAACTGGACCATTGACATCAGGTACTATTTTATGAGAGAGAATTTCACATCTGTATCCTTTAAGTCAATGTATTTTTGTACTCTGTCAAAGCTTCTTAAACTTTATCCTCACATCTAAACATATATGGATAGGCACACATCAAAGAGGGTAAATGTTTGAAAACTGTCTGATAGTCAAGGATTACTATCCTGAATTAGGGAGTGCTTTTACCAATTGCTGGAAAAAAAATCAAATCTAATGGAAAAGCAGGCAGAGGACAAGAAGAGGAGATTGGCTAAAAAGGAAATAGAAGTGAATACACATGAAGACAAGTAAATACAAATAAATCAAACTGAATAAAGATTATTTTAATGTTCAGCTATATAACAATGAAATGAAATTAAGCATGAGATACAAGTTCTCTCTTATCAATGTGGCAAGAGAAATTCATTTTATGGAATATGCAGTGTTTGAGAGGGTGCGAGTGAACAAACTCTGACACCGTTAAGGGAAGTATAAAATGTTAAACCTGTTTAAGAAATATTTGACAGTGTATATTAAGATATTAAGAAGTGTACAATTGCATTCCTTGTAAGTTTATTCTAAGATGATTATAAATATGCCAGTATTATACAAGGTTTACAAAACTGCATCATTTTATAGATTTAAGAGATAACATATTTCCAGCCCCAGAGAAGAACTTTAATAAATTACAGAATAGCATTGACCTGGTGAAAATATTTTGAAGACTGTTAAACAACATGGAAAAATATGTTTTTGATATGCTGAATGAATAAAATGGTTATAAAGTATATATCCCAGATCATAATGTTGTTAAAGAAAGCATGTACACATGCTCCAAAATGACAGCAAGAATGGTTATCATTAGGTGCCCAGGTAGGAAATAATTTTACTTCATCTGCCTTTCTATATTACCCAATGTTTCTATTATATTCTGAATTACCTTCAATATATGAAAATAAAATATGACTCCATCATAAACAAATTAGAATGCAAATTAAAAACTCAAAAATATTTGCAACCCCTTAACTAATTTGTTCCAAAAGCATTTATTCTATGTTCATTATGTATCGAGCACTCTCTCAGATATAATAATAAACAGGAAAAACCTCTTCCTTAATGAAGTTCATTTTCTGGGTGCACAGATAGTCAACAAGTAAATAAATGAATTCTGAAGATAATTACAGAGAATAAAAATTGCTATGAAGGAAATGAACAAGGCTCTGGTGAATTTTAGGTTGAATCCTGAAGGATGAGAAAGCCAGTGTGTGAAATGGGAGACCATTTCTGGCATGAAAAAGCAGGTGTGAATCTGAGCAGCAGCAGAGCGTGGCAAATGCTAGGGGAACACAGAGGCAGGCCCTGTGGAGCACAGTGTAGGGTGCAGAGGCTGTTAAGAGGTGGATGGGGCAGAAGAAGCTAAGGTGTGTAAATCTTGGTAAGGAGTTTGCTTTTTTTCCTATTTGAAAGGAAACCATTAATGCTATTTCAGCAGGGAAGTTACATCTATTCTTGAAAGAAATATTCTGTCTGTTATTGAGGACTGATACACTTAAAATACAAAATGCATAGTGATGAATAAAAAACAAAAGCAACAATAAATACTTTGGGAAAATGTCTGAAGAATGGGCAGAGGAAGAAATACAAATTACTAAGAAACAGCAATGTTCACCTTTACTAGTAATCAAAACAACAAATTTAAATAATTTTTCACTATTAAAATAGCAAAGTTGAAGAAAAATTTAATATGTGTTAAGGACATTGTCAGATAGGCAGCAACAAAATGATTGCTCTTAATCATTCTTGGCAAAGATAGGAACAGGATGCTGATCTCAGTGCTGTCTACAGTGAGTGTTTATCTTTTTTTTTCCTGAAGAGGAATTACATATAATTTTTGTACCATTCACATTTCTTGAAAACTCTATAAGAAACAGGTGCTATTTATATAATAAAATTTTTGTTACTTTATAATAAAAAAAATGATTTTTGAAGTCCAAAACAAGTTCACCATAACATATAGGCTATCTTACATAGAAGAAATAATAAAGTTTAAAAAGGGTTTTGGAATTATATGTATATTTGAAATTGTATATGTATACACATAAAGTTACAACCTGTTTTACCACTTTCAGGTTTCAGGACTTTGGACAAACCAATTTCTCTTAGATTTGGTGCCCTGATTTATAACATAGGCAAAATAATACTTCATAGTACTCTTGTAAGGGTTATAGAACATGCAAAATGAACATATATTGTGACTGTATTATGAAATATTATAATTACTACTACATATTACTGTTAAAGCTTCTAGGTATAATTAAAAAACAGCAACAGTTAGTTCTTACACTGATTTAGCTCTTAGTATGTGATAATCACTCTGCTTTTTACAAGCTTCCCTTCCTGCTATAATTTTATACTGACAGCAAACCAAGAAGGCATTGTTGTTATTCTTATCTTACAGATGAAAAAATGAGGCATAGAAAAGCAGTAAGCTAGTTGGCAAGTCCTGAATGATCCCAGAATCCAAATTCATAGTGACCCAATACGTTCAAGACATTTTGGCTCTCTTCATCTTTTACCTTTGCTATCCAGTTTATAGAAAAGCTTTCCTTTGTATGTAAGTGAGCTAGAATCTTTAGGCAGAAATAAAGCATCAGACATTCCCCTTAAGCCAACTGACAGATGGGCTGTGCCTGTGACAATTGTCTAGCATACATGTATGACTGTTTATTACTGTGATCCACATTGTAGGGCATCTAAAGATGGGTAAGGCCTAATTCATCTTGCCTTTGAGGAATTTATATTCTAGTTACAAGCATAAGACAGAAATTTAGTTTGTACTATAAGAGGTACACAATGCTCTGGGGGTGGGGTAGTGAATACTAATGCTGTAAGAATGCAGATAGACTTTCTGAAAGATGGAGCTTTTTAATAGTCCTTGGACTAAGAATGCACAGGCAGATGAGAGAATAAAGCAGAGAATGAGCCATAAATGTGAAAACAGTAACATAGCTTGCCCATCTCTGACTGGAGTTTAGAAAACAATTTGTGTTTGAGATGCAACCAGTAGGTAAGGGCCAGGCTGTGGCGAGCTTTGAGTGCCTGTACATGTTTTAACAGGCAGAGAACTTCTGAAAGTATTTTTACTTCAGAAAGATGACTCTGCCAGCTATAAGAAGAAATGAAAGACAGAAAGAACTGAAAGTCAAGATAGGATTCCAGGAGGAGAGTTTTGCAATAAGTAGGGAAGAGGTAATGACCAGGGGGTGAAGGGGATAAAAGGTAGATAGTTGACAGATAAGGGTATGGAAGAGAGTTATGGTGACTTTCAGGTTCTGGTAGAATGTGAGGATGCCTATCAAAAACTGAATTGCTAACAAAATAATCTTCAACCTCTAAGTACACCTATGTAAAGAGTATTACAGTAATCAGAGCAGGGAAACATAAAACCATCTTCTACAGCCAAAATTTCAAAAAGTTGCCTTCCCTGATGGCAGGAAATAACATTTGCATATTCAAATCTCTCATTGTTCAATTCAATTGAAAATTCAACAATTATTTTCTCAAAGGCCTATGTTGAAACCTTTTAGTTAGAACTTCAAAAATGACTGGATAAAACAGGATAGGTCCAAGCCCAGAGATTTATTTGTCAAACTAGTTATTTTATAATTCTCAATTTTATAGGGACTTATCTCACCCTAGAATATAAGCTAGCATTTACAATTATTGACATTATGTAATTTTGGCATAGCAGAATCCAGGGATTTGCAATTTTCTTTTTAACAGTAGTACTAATTCATTAATCCAGTAGGAGCACTGGGTATGGATGTTGGGCCCACAGGACATCTGGAATTATTGGTCTGGTTCTGTGCATGCCTTTTTGGACTCTTACGATGATTCTTGAACATTTCTGATTAGCATTTCAAAAGAGAGCCTCCAGTTGCTACATTATTAAAAGACATGTTTTTTTCTGCCAAAGATTTTACTAAAAAGGGGTTCAAGTCGGAGTGCTAAAATTATCTCTGTAAAAAAATGGGTTCAGCTAGGGCATAAATTTCATTTATGAAAGTATTAAAAAGCCAACAACTCCTACAAAACAATGCTACAATTTTTATCAACTTTAACTGTACTCTTTAGAAGAAAATTAAATACAAAGAAATACAGTGTCCCTTGATTTGCTATTGCAGTTCTTATTTCTAAACTAAATACATTTTAAAAGCACAAATAATACGGTAATCTAAAATTTCAAGTCCAAAAGCAAAGACAGAATTGACAAAATGATCTCTTATGCAAAGAACTGCCCATTTTCACCATTTGGGGAAAATGGGCATATGTATGTGTACACACACACACACATATAATATACATGCTTGACTTATACACAAATAGCTCAGTAGGCAAGGTCAGGCTTTCAAAATTACTCCAAGGAAATGGATTTATTCAGGCAAATCTATATATGAGTCTCTGTACACATACACCATAAGACTGGTTATGAACTTAGTAAGACCATCTTGTTTACTTTTTTTTCCAGATTGCTTTCAGTACATGCTTTCTTTAGAACATTCTTAAAATTGAAGTATAAAGCAATAGTATTCAATATATAACACACAGTGGAGTTAAAATCATCACACTACCTCTCTTAAAATCTCATTTCTATTGGTAGCTTTTCCTAATTCTTCCCTCATTAATTCCTGCTTGGGCTTTTCAACACTTTTCCTACAAAGCAAATTTTCCTCATGTGGATTTTGAATTGTAGGTTCTTGGACTAACTGACGAGCTGTATTTATGACTACATTGTTTTTAGCTCTGAGGGTGTAGGGTTCCTTGGGCTTTGCTCTTTTTTGGCAGAGCTGGAGCTGAAAAGCGTCTTGGAAGCCATGGCGAAATTTCTCATTGAAGAAACCGTAGACAATGGGATTGACGCTGCTGTTGCAGAAGGCCAGCCAGTGTGCTAAAGGGTAGATGTAGATGTTGATGGCCTGCAGTTCACTGGGAGACAGGTGGGCGTAGTCTGAGAGCATCATCAGAGTCCACAGGGGCAGCCAGGAGAGAATGAAGAGCAAGACCACTATCAGTAGCATCTTAATGACCCTCTGCTTCTTCCTGGATACCACATGCCACTGCTCCTGGTTCTGGGTGCCTGTGTGGGGCACTGTCACCTTGAAGAGTGAAATTCCAATCTTTCCATACATGATGACAATGAGGGACAGCGGGGCCAGATAGATGTTGGCAAAGAGCACAGTGGTGTAGATCTTCCTCATTTCCTGATTTGGCCAGTCTTCCCGGCACCAGTAGATGGGGCTGGTTTTATTTTGAGAGTTGAGTCTCACTCGGTAATATTTTTCTTCTTGTACATGCAACATTATAGCAGAGGGGGACATAATGGCGGTGGCCAGGACCCATATGATCACAATAATGACGGATGCTGTCTTGATACTGAGCTTTGGTTTAAAAGGGTGGACCACACACCGGAACCTACAATTAAAGGCAAATATGAATGAAGCACTGCCTCCTAACATTTGACTGCGTAGTGAAATAAATTTACTTAAGTAATTACTGTCTCCTGCATTCCCCTCAAACACATAGTTATCAGTAATAGAGAGGCATGTATTACCATTTTCTGTAACTGATAGAAATTTCAACTCAAAATATTAACAAGTAGAGTACCAGACACTATATGAGAAACTATTATATAATAAAAGTAACAGTGCTAACTAGCATATATTGAAGATGAACATTTAATATTGTGTTTCAGGTACTTTTCCACTGGTTTGCATCAATTGTTAAAGCCTCCCCATTGAAAAGGTGGGAAAACAGACTTAGAAAAAGTAAAACAAAAAAAAATCTTGTTCATAATTACACATGATTTTTACACAGGTAGTTTTGGCTCCAGGGCTCACATTTTTATGCTTTCCTCCATGCCCTTCTGTGGTCCTTTCCCACATTATCTGTGTGCTTGTCAACTGGCCTTGACCAGTTGAACATTAGCAAGGATGACATAAGCAGAAGCATGAGTGGTTTCAGTCATAAGACAAAGAGCAGGGGAACCACACAGAGGCACCCAACCAGGCCACAGAATCACAAGAACTATTAAAGTATTATTGTTTTAAGCCACTGAGTGTTACGGTGATTTGTTTTACAGCTGTCTGAGCCTGAGAGTTTCAGTTGTGAGCCGTTTATGTGCCTTCCTGATATTTTGTGTCCTCTGGTGTGTGTGGATACTCAACATCAGTTAGCCTGATTCATTTCACTGCTGTTTTGTTACTGGGCTTCTTGATGTTAGTATCAATAACTCGCCATGTTAAATTATAAGATAATCATGCCATTATGCAACTGTAGAACATTTTATATTTTTGAAAGTACCTACTTAATCATCTTTGATTTTTGTAATGACTCTATGAAACTGAAATGTTATGGAAATTTTTATTTTCCTGACCTGCAGCTAAGGAAACTTAGAAGTTTAAGTTTAAGTGACCCCACAGAAACTCCAAATTAAATCATCTGATATGTCTTTGTGTACTAACTAGTCAACTTGAATCCTGACTACTCTGTTGTCCTTCTCTGGAACTCATTCACTGCATGTGTAAGGTCTTGTCTCTTAACCTGCAATTTGCTTCTAATCTTTTAATTAGTGAATCCTCCCATTTACTCCCTCTGAAATTCTGGGTAACTTCCCAGACACAATTCTACATATTTTGCTCCTTTTATAAACCCACTTTTGAGGCTTCAAATATTATTTTTTCATTAATTCATTCAACAAATATATATATATATATATATATGTATTCAGAGAGGCAAAAATGAACAAGATAGAAAATGCTCCCTGCCAGGACATAGTCAATGGAAACATTGTGTAATAATGCTAAAGTCAAGCTAGAGCTTGGACCTGGCCAGTGCATTAGTCAGGGTTTTTCAGGTTTAAAGAACCAGCAGGATGTATAAATATATAGGAACCTCTTTATTATAAGGAATTGGCTGTGCAATGATAGAGTTCGAAAAAGTCCCAAGATCTGAAGTTGGCAAATGGAGACCCAGGAGAGCCAACAAAACAGGCCTGGTTCTCGCTCGAAGGACTGAGAGCCAGGAGGGCCCCTGCTGTGAGCTCTAGTCCACACACCAGCAGGCGCAAGACCCAGAAGAGCTGATTTTTTAGTTTGAGTCTGAAGGTAGGAAAAGACTGATGTCCCACCCAGCTCAAAAAGTCAGACAGGAGGAATTCTTTCTTACCTGCAGGAGGATCAGCCTTGTTTGTTCTATTCAAGCCTTCAACTGATTGGATAAGTGCTCCCCTTATTAGGGAGGACAATCTGTTTTACTTAGACTCAAATGTTAATCTCATCAAAACAACCTTAGCGTCACACCCAGCATAATGTTTGACCAAGTATCTGGGTATCCTGTGGCTCATTCAAGTTCACACATAAATTTAATCATCACAGTCAGTTAGGAAACAATTTTCAATATATCTCAAGCAACAAAGGATAGTGGCCTCATTCAGGACCAGTTAGCACCCAGAGCTGATGGGACTTGAAGGGTGATTAAATAGAGATTGAAGAGAGAAGGAAGGTTTGAAGATAACTCTCAAGATTTTTCACATGAATTGGGCAGAATATACAGGTGTTTTTCTTGTTGTTGAATATACAGATGTTTTCCAGCAGGCATTTTGAACACAAATATGAAATTTAGGAGAAAGACTTAGTCCGGAGAAATTGGTTTGGGAGTTTTTTTGAAGTTTGACTTCTTCCAACAGCTGACTCTGAGAACAGCATCTAAGTGCAATTTATTAAGATAGAGATGAAGGTGTGATGGTTTTAAAACATGTCCAAGTTCTTTGACATTCCTTACCAATTCTTTTCCATTTTCCTTGCATGTGGGCTGGCCTTAGGAACTCCTCCTAATAAGTAGAATGCAGAAGTAATACTGCATGGCTTTCCCAGGCACTCTGTTAAGACACAGGCCTCTGGAGCCTTGGACTGATGTGTAAGAAGTCCAGCTCCCTTGAATTGCCATGCTGTAGAGCCCATGTCTTGGAGATCAAGGACCCAAGGAGCCCCAGTTCGATCTTCCCAGCGTAAGTACCAATGTGAGAGTGAGAGAGGCTTCAGCCCCAGCCTGGATTCTCCCCCACTGGTGCCAAGTGGAGTGAAACAAGCTATACTTGCTGAATCTGCCCACATCAGAGAGTCATGTACTTAATAAACATTGCTGTCATTTTAAGCCACTAAGTGGTTTGTTTGGGGAAATTACTAGTTATATAGCAATAGATAACTGTAGCTACAGAGAAGTGATATATGGTTGGGAAGGCAAGTAGTAAAGGGTGTGAATGAAATCACAGCAGATGACCATATTTTCATCACTTTTCAAAAGGCATAAAACAATTACAGATACAGTTAAAATTCTCTTGGTAGAACTGCTCAATCCCATTCCTCTTTCACTTTTCCCAGAAATCCTGAAGATGGTATGTATCCCTGCTGTCAATTTTTTAATGTTTTTGTGGTACTAATCTGCATCTATAATATTTTAAATTTTATATTGATGGCTCCATGTTTTATCTTTATGTAACTTCTTTTTTCAGATTGTATGCTTTTGAGATTTATGCATTTTGATAGATGTTGACCTATTTCATTCATTTTAACCACTGTACAGTTATCCATTGAATAAATATAGCAAAATTTATTTGTTAATCTAAACTTATTTGGTTTTTTAAATGAAGATTAATGTTTATTTCTAAATTTCTGTTTAGGAGGCATGCTAGAAACAGTGAAAAAGGAATTTAGTGATTTTAATACTAAATGTAATGTGGAAGTAAATATGACAAGCTCAAGATCCAAGAACAAAATAATAAGGATATTATAGATTTTTTATTCACTATAAAGATGATATGTATAATCAAGGTATAGAATTTATTACATATATGATTAAGACAGAATTTATTATAAACATTCACATCAAAAGAATTTTATAGTAGTCCTACTACTAGAATAAAATGAGTGTTAGTATAAATAAATAGTAGTATATAAAAAATAATTTAACATATATAGGATGTAGTAATGCTGGAAATAATTACCTCCTAAATTCTATAAAACATCTTTAGCATATGGTGGTTAGCATATGTTTAAATTCTATTCCCTTTACAAACCAAGTAAACTACAGCTACATGGTGGGTTCTCGGAAATAGATTAAAACATTATAAATAATGATGGAAATAATAGATTTTTATTAAAAATAGAATCTGCCAGTTGTGTTTTGATGTCAACAATTCCACTGCATTGCATGTTTTTTAAAACTAGCTTGCTAGATTGGTTGTTGATGGGTTGTTTCCCTTTTGGACCAGTTTCTTCACTGAACGAGATACCTTGCACGTCATTGTTCAGTTTCCCTCTTCATTCCATTGTCACTGTCTTAATAGATGTATGCATCCTCTCCCATTTGAGTTAAAAAAGGTTATTAACAGCTCTTCAATGCTCTAATCTTATACAACTCCAAATGATTTCCACCTATTTCTCTAACATGAAAATAGTAATTATGCCCTTGTTTGAAAGATTTCAGTAGCTCCCTCTTGTCCTCAGGAAGAAGTTTAAACTTCTTAAAATGGAAGATAAACCCATACAAAATCCACTCCTTGTCTCTTTTGATGGCTTAATGTGCCAATCCACCCTCCCACGTTCCAGCTTCCAGAACTATGAGAAGTACATTTCTCTTGAGTCAGCCATGCAGTCTGTGCTGTCTAATTACAGCTGCCTGGATTGACAAAGATAGACATGTATCATCCCTAGCTATTTAATTTTAAAATACAGAAATTTCAATAGTTTTATTTTCTTATTATTGAGCCATCAGTAGATATTTACTGTGTTCTTAAAGGGATTGATATCAGGGATACAGTTTTGGGAAGATACACCCAAATTCAGATTACACATTTTTCTCTGGTTAGGTGGATTAATTGCAGACATGCCCACTTGTCTTGATTCCAATGTTGGTTCTAACTTACCTGTCCACTGCTATTGCAACTAAAGTAAAGACTGAAGCTGCAACTGATATTCCCTGGACCAATCCACTGATCTTGCACATTGTGTTTCCAAATGGCCATCCTGAGAGGGAAATGAAACAGACTTGGAAATAATCATATTTTTAAAACATCTCACTGAAGATATGAATAGAAAGGTGTGAAGTCAAGACTGGTGCAATTTTTTCTAAATGATAGTAAGGTAATAGTGTTTCCCAGTATTTTCACAAATATATCTAGAGCTGTTTTTCAGCATACTAATAATAATGGGAAAGCTTGAATAGTAGTTACTGCATTCTAGGGCACTGTCATAAGTCCTTTGCAAATGTTAACATATCTAATCCCCACAACAAGCTTTTGAATTCTTTATTATTCTCCTCACAATTTAGACAAGGTAACAGACACACAAATGTCATAAACCTTGCCACAAACATACAACACTAATTTATAATTATATATAATATTAATATATGATATATATAACATCTAATATGCAATACTTGATATAAGCCACTTGATACATAACAGTTATTTAGTATACTCAGGATTTGAACCCTTGGTAATAGGGTTCCAGGGTCCAAACCATTAACACTTATGCAATAATGCCCTTTAAATTAATAAAACAAACAGAATATTGGTTTTCTAATTTGGAAATGAACCCCTTAAATTATAAGGAATCAGGAGTTACATGTAGAATAAATAAAGTTAATATAATAAAATAAATATAAAAATAGGTAATATTTATGTATAGTGTAGTAAGACAATTTACCTCAGAGGCACTTTACTGAGGCCCCTACTCCTATTCATATATTGAAGCCTTAACTATCCAATGTGATGGTATTTGGGGTAAGCCTTTGGGAATTAACTGGACTTAGATTGGGCCATGAGGTAGGTAACAGGATAATAGGAGTAGGACTCTTACAGTAAGTGCAGGAGAGAGAGGTTGCTTTCCATGCACCAAGGGAAGACCACCTGAGCACACAGCAAGAAGAGAGCTATCGACCAGCCAGTAAAAGGGCCTCACCAAGAACCTGGGCATGCTGGCCCAGATCTAGGACTTACAGCCTTCAGAATAGTGAGACAATAAATGTCTATTGTTTAAACCACCCAAACTATGGTATTTTATTATAGCAGCCTATGCTAAAACATACTTTGAGTATGAAGAACACTTTGCATGCACAAAAGCAGTCTATTGGATTACTTCCTAACTGAATTTCAGTCACTAGAAAGTTTATAAAGAAATTAGTAAGTGTATTTGCAGTAAAGCTATTAGCAGTCTGATGTTCTAAACACCCAACTGCTACTATAGGAAAGTAACAATGTTTTCCCACTAGCAAATATTCTATTTTCCCAAAATATTAATGCTACATATTTTTCCAATGTTTAAAATTTCTTTTAAATGATATTCTGCAATTTATTTATTTATTTATTTATTTATTTATTTATTTATTTATTATTCTGGTATCATTGATCTACAATTACATGAGGAACATTATGTTTACTGCAATTTATTTTTTAAAAATATTCTTACCTAATTCAAAATATTGCCAATAATCTAAATAATTCACTTATATTATTAAAAAAACACATTTTATCACCTATCCAAACCATCTTAAGATATGTGTTTGAGTGACTCAGCTGAATAGAAACCAAAAGACTATGTCTCTCCAGTCCTAAAGTTTGTTTGGTTATTGCAGTATTACTTTTCAACTATGCAAAAAGTATGGATAGTGATTGGTTGGAAGTAGAAGAATAAGCCCATGATTTATCTCATCTCCTTCACCAAACTCTACTGAACTCTACTGAAGTGATAAACAGGACAAAAGAACATAAATCCATAGAAACTGAGGAGCCAGATACTACTGAAGTGGGCAAAACAACATGATGGGCTGAATTATGTATAAATGCAGTCAGATGCCATTGGCTCTTCCCCAGGCCAGCAGAGAAATGGAAATTACTCTCTGAGGAAGTAGAAACTCATGGGCTGTAGACTGTGAGTCACTAGCTGCAGATGGAGTGGGTACCTTGATGATGCAGAAGGATTAAGCAAAAGTATACAGTGTGCATGCAATACTGTTGGCTCAGAGACCCACGCAGCTCTGGAATGCAGCAGCCAGCCTTATATCCTTATGGCAGTAGATCAGAGGATTTTCTTTTGGGGAAAGTGATCCCTTCAGGAACACTGGCATGCAGATTTTGACAGTTGTGGATTTCCCAATGAATACGCAGACTCAAACCCCAGGCATGCAGAGAGGTTCAAGGGCCACAGAGTGACTCACTCTGGAACATCATCAGCTAAGTAGAAGTTGACATTAGGAAAACTTTACATATAAAAGAAAGGGACTAAAGCAAATAGGAATAAACTTACAAGAAAAGAATATGAATCAAGAATATGAAAAGTGAAAAGCAAAAAATTATTACTAATAACCTCAGAGACGGAACACATTTTATCCATAAAATATATGTGATAGTATAAGGAACATGCAGAATATAAAAGTAGGTCAAAGAATTTAAAATATGGTAATAGAAAAGAAGAACTCAACATTAAGTCTGGAAGAGAAAGATGAGAAAATCTTTGAAATAAGGAACAGAAAATGGAAGAGAAACACCTAAATATATAAAGAACTCATACACCTTTACACCAGAAAACCAAATAACCCAATTAAAAAATGGGCAGAGGACCTGAACAGACATTTTTCCAATGGAGAAATACAGATGCTCAACAGACACATGAAAAGATGCTCCACATTGCTAATCATCAGGGAAATGCAAATCAAAACTACAATGAGATATCACCTCACACCAGTTAGAATGGCCACTATCCAAAAGACAGTAAATAAGTTTTGGTGAGGATGTAGAGAAAAGGGAACCTTCTTACACTGTTGGTCGGAAAATAAATTGGTACAGCTTTGTGGAAAGCAGTATGGAAGCTCCTCAAAAAACTAAAAATAGAAATGCCATTTGACCCAGTAGTTCCACTTCTAGGGGTTTACCCAAAGAAAACAAAATCTCCAATTTGAAAAGATATATGCACCCATATGTTATTATTGCATTATTTATAATAGCCAAGATAGGGAAGCAACCTAAGTGTCCATCAGTAGATGAATGGAAGAAGAGGTGGTACATACATACTGGAATATTATTCAGCCATAAAAAGAAAGAAATCCTGCTATTTGTAAGAACATGGATGGACCTAGAGGGTATTATGCTCAGTGAAATATTCAGGAGAAAGACAAACACCATATGATTTCACTTACATGTGGAGTCTAAAAACAAAGCAAAATGAACAAAACAGCAGTAGACTCATGGACACTGAAAGTGACTGGTGGTTACCATGGGGAGTGGTTGGGATGGGTGGGTGTGGAGTGTGAGGGGGACAAAGGGGCACAATAATTCTCAATCATAATATAAGTTGGTCATGGGGATGGTAGTACAGCATAGAGTATAGTCAATGATTCTTTAACATCTTTGTATGTTGACAGTAACTGCACTAGTTGGGGTGAGGATTTAATAATGTGGGTAACTGGTGAACCACTGTATTTTATACTTTAAACTAATATAAGATTGTTTATCAATAATACTTCAATTAAAAAAAAGATCAATAAAGGAGCAACCTAGAACCTCTAATCTCTGATTAATACAAATTGAAGAAAGGAAAATGGAAAAGAATTCTACAAAAAAACTCCCCAGGATTGAAGGCATCATTTACTGATTGAAAGAACCTAGTTTGTGTCCAGCACAATCAATGAAAAATAGTAAGACTTATCTAAAACATAATTGTCTGAAATAAGGAACACTGGGGATAGAGAACCCTAAGAGCTTTTAGGAAGAAAAACAAAATACATACCATGAGTAAAAAAAGTACAAGTCAAATGGCGTTAGATTTTTCAGCAGTAACACCAGGTTTCTCAGCAGCAACAATAGAGCAATCTCTTTAAAAACTTTGAGGAAAAAAAATGCCCAGCCTAGAATACTCTAATCAGCAAATATAATCAAGTGTGAGGGCAGAATAAAGATATTTAAAGGAATTCCACTCTTAGGAATTTACCAAAAAGTGCAGGAGTGCAGTTTGAAAAAGACACATGCACCCCTATGTTTATTGCAGCACTATTTATAAATAGTCCTGAAATGGAAGCAATCTAAGTGTCCATTAGTAGATAAATGGATAAAGAAGATGTGGTACATATACACAATGGAATATTATTCAGCCATAAGAAGAAAACAAATCCTACCATTTGCAACAACATGAATGGAGCTAGAGGGTATTATGCACAGTGAAATAAGCCAGGTGAAGAAAGACAAGTATCAAATGATTTCACTCATCTGTGGAGTATAAGAACAAAGCAAAAACTGAAGGAACAAAATAGCAGCAGAATCACAGAACCCAAGAATGGACTAACAGTTACCAAAGGGAAAGGGACTGGGGAGGATGGGTGGGAAGGGAGGAATAAGGGGAAGAAAGGGCATTATGATTAGCACACAAAATGTAGTGAGGGGTGGCACAGGCAAGGCAGTATTGTACAGAGAAGACAAGTAGTGATTCTATAGCATCTTACTATGCTGATGGACACTGACTGTAATGGGGTGTGTGGTGGGGACTTGATAATGGGGGGAATCTAGTAACCACAGTGTTGCTCATGTAAGTGTATATTAATGATACCAAAATAAAAAAAAAGATACTTGCAGACATACAAAATTTAAAACATTTTTTTCTCAATTCACACATTTGCAGGAAGCTAACAGGAATCAACCAAAAAAGAAGACCTGGCTCCAGAAAATAGGAGATTGAGCCCAGAGAAAGGTATGGAGAATTGTTAGGGTCTCAGCGATGGGACATTCCAGAACAGTAGCTGAGGTCCATGCCTGCCTGGAAAGCAGCATGTCTGCATAGGAACAAAAGGATAGAAAGTACCAGGGAGGGTGTCTCTTGGAAAAAAGATGCAACTTAAAAGTTACCTGATTTAAAGGTAGTGACAGGAAATTAACACACCTGGAAGAGAATTTGAGGATATGTTACCGATAGGTACACACCCCAAACTAAGCAAATTCAAAGTATGTTGCCCTTATTAAATCCAAGAAAACAAATAATATTTTATAGGAGAGAAATTGATATCTTAGCTCTCTACATGGCTAAGCAAGGGTAAGATACATATCATAATAGGAAAATACACTATGAATATTGATTTAACCAAAAACATGAGATAATCATCATGAGAATGAGAAGAGGTGAAGGATATAAGTGTATACTTGTGTGAGCGTATATTTGTGTTTTTGTATGTGTCTGCTTGTTTTCATATACAATTGTAGCCAATCATGTGGTTTTCCCAATGCCACATTCAGTATCTGACACTGTTTCTATGGATTTATATTCTTTTGTCCTACTGTCATTTCAGTGGAGTTTGGTGGGGAAACGACCTCTTGTGGTAGAAGAAGATTATGAGAACAAAATTATAACTACCGTTTGAAGATAACACATCACATGAAAACATGGTATTTGGAAATACGATAGTAATTACCAAAAATAAAGGCAAAAAATGCTGAATGTGACTGCCTCATGGGGAATGGGAATCAGGGGTAAGGAAGGGTACCATATATGGAAAATTTTTAAATAATAATTTAACTGTAAGTATAGTTTTTTAACTATATTTTTCAAGGAAATACTGAGAACATTTCTTTTTGGAGAAATACATTTCTTGAGAGCAGTAATAGTTTTTATCAATTCACTCTTTTTTGTCTAGCACAGTATCTTGAAAATACACATCCTTGATAAATATTGTTTTTTAAAATAAACATCACGAAAACACAGAATCTATACAGGACATGATGATAGAACAGGCACTCTAAAGCCTTCCTGGTTCCCATTCCAGAGATAGGAAGGAAACAGGTGAATGCTAAAGAGAAGCTGAGTCAGCTGATGTTGAATGCTTGGAAGGATAAGGGCTATGACCCGGCTCCTGCCCCTCTAAATAATTTTGATATGCTAATTGTTTTTTCTTATACAGATTTAGAATATTAATAGCTTGAGTACTGATCATTAATTAATGCAACAAATATTTCTTAAGTAGGTACTATGTACCCAAACTGTTCTGGGACCTGGAGATGCAGTATTCCTGCACTTCTGGAGTACATGATATGGGGCTACAGAAGTAGTGATGCGGGCCCAGAGGTACTCTAGGCACTAACCTTACAATACGAAGTTAGTTGTATTGTGCATGGAAATTACCACTGATGAACTACCACTTTTTGTGAAATCGTTGGGACTGCTGCTCCACCTTCCCTCAAAAACTATTGGTAATCTCTCCAGCTAACCACAAGAGGGCCTAAATATCTATTTGTGTTAAATTGAAAACATTACATCAGTTGAAACCAGACTTTCCAGCTCCTTGAACTTGGCAGTCCATACTATTCTCAGTATTTCTACAATATTATATATGTCCTGACTGTATTAAACAAATTCAAAGTCTTCAGTAAAGAGTGCTAGATCTCAGTCTGTGATGACCTTCAGTGAACTTCTATAAAAATGACAGCTTCTACTCTTCATTTCTGTCACTTGCTTTCTTTTATCCATAATTCTTACTATTCTATGCTTACTTATATAGCTGTTTGTTTATTTTCTTTCTCCTCATCTAGAAAGCAGACTTCATGAGGGCAGGTACCTGGGGCAGTTATTGGAATCCCATAAATATTTGTAAATGAATGGATGACCCTGCCACAGCTGCAGGGATATGGGACAAGCGTTTTCTCATACCATCTTTGCACTGTGCACAAGTCAACATACCTGCTATAATATTGTCCAGCAGCGTGATAGGCATACAGAATATACCAACTAGTAAATCACTTATTGCCAGGTTCAAGATAAAGAGATTAGTGACAGTGTGCATATGTTTGTTCCTCATTACAGTAAAGCAAACCACTGTATTTCCCACCATGCACAGGAAGAAGATTAGGAAGTAGGAAATAATGTAGACTGCTGCCACTTGAGGCTTGTGAAGATAGTAGTTCACATAGGTGATATTGCTATCTGAGTATTGATGATGCTTTGTGTCATTGACACTCCAAATACGCCAGTTTTCTGAAGAGTTTGAGCCCCATTTCTCACTCATGGTGGACCTGAACGAAGGAGAGGTAAAAAAGGAAAAGCATAATTAGAAGCCAGTAGAAGTTCTGTGGGTGAGTTTAAGAAGGACACTTTTAAAATGCTATGGAATTTGGTGTGCCTTCTATAATAATCCATAAATTCTACATGGAACTGAATTATAAATAAGGCATTCAAATTAGGATTTTAACTAAGAATATTTGAAAATTTTACTTTGTGCTGTAAGTAACAATTATTACATTTTATTTCCTTGATATATGCTGTATTTCACTTTATCTTTTCTATCCAACTGCAAAGCTTCAAGGGAAATTTTGGAAGGGAAAGTCATCAGGTAACATGTCAAAACCTACTTGTTCTTTTAAGACTAACTGAAATGCCCCCAGATTTCCTGATAATTTGAATAAGACTCTGAGCTGTCTATGTCTTCAAAATTCCCATTAAAATAAGCTTCTTATATTTTCCTTTTTCTGCTTGATTCATATTCCACTCAAGCAGTATGTATTCAATAAATATTTTAATTTAGAATCTATGTATCTTCATATAGGCATTTCAGTCAACTCTTGTGTGTCAAAGGCCCCCAACAATGCTCTGAGGTTGGTGATTCCCTAGAAGGAGTCTCTGGACTCAGCAGATAGTGGGTTCACAGTCAGTACTTTTCATAGCAAATGGATACAAGGCAAAATTTGTGAATAAAAAGGCACACGGGGTAGAATCTGCAGGAAACAGGACACATGCTCCCAACAGTCCTTTCTCAGTAGAGTCCCACAGGCCATGCTCAGCTCCTCCAGCAATGAGTGACAACATGTGTGAAGTGTTGGCTACAGGGAAGCTCATTAGAGACTCAATATGCAAGGTTTTTAACTGGAGAGTGGTCATGTGGGTACCTTCTTCCTAGCATGTATCAAAATTCCAGACTTCCAGAAAGAAAGTAGATGTGCAGCGTGAACTACGTTATTTGTACAATCAGATTAAGCACAGTGAGCCACTCTTGTCATGTAAGGAATCTTTCTATCAGTGTTGGGAACTGTTTATGATTTAAGTTCCCAACTCCAACCAAGGACCAACCATGCAAGAAAGCCTTTCTACAGGTAACAAGTCTTATGCTTGTTTGTTAACTCTTCTCTGCATACCTTGTAAACTTGTTGGACCAACGGTTATGTGTGCCCTTAAATGAAAATGAATTTGACAGTGTTGGCAGTGTACTTTAGCAACTGAGTTCCCATATTCATTTTTTGGGAATAATTTCATGGACTTTGAATTGGTGAGGATAAAGTCAAATGGGTCTCTACAGTTTGCAGAACATTGAGGCATTTGGTGACCTCATCACTTTGCATTTTTCAGTCTTTCACTAAATACACATCTGTATCATTTTAGGGGAGCATGTTCACTCTTGTAAATACTGCATAAGGATATATATTATTCACAATTTAGATACTCCACTTTGGGTATTTCTCTTTGCATTTTAAATACAAGGAAGACTAAACAAAAGATAAGTTACTAATATAAGTTGATAAAAAGGGATCATTTTTTTCTACAATATTTCCCATTATTTTGCCAATTTATTTCTTCACTTGACTCTAATTTTTAAAATTCATCTTTGCTTTTGTATGTTTCATATGTCTAAGCCCATATAAAAACAAAAAAATAGAAAATGAAAAGGAAAGTGAGTGTGAGATGGGATGAGGGCTTGGAGAGAAAAAAGGAAAGGAATTTGAGTAGAACTAGATGCATTTTACAATACAGAGTCAAGCTGAGAATCTCTTTGGGGTTCAGAGCCTGACATTGAGAATACCTACCAGCTTGATAAAAATCATTTCAGTCAATGTTTCCAAAGGAAAAGTATTTACACAAATATTGAGATATTTGTACTTAAGGCAGGGAAACTCAGTAATTACAAACGAGAACTGCATGAGAAAACTGCAGGCACCTAAAAGTTACTGCAAAGAAACATCTGTCCATGGATTCAGTTAGAGGTAGAAAACATATACATAGAATATATTAAAAGACATAATAATTTATATTTGCACATTCTTTTTTCTTATACCCTAGTATAAAGGAACCCTTACTATAAAGCATCCATGGCACATATGTTGAGATAAGGGTGTTAGGAAGGTTGAAATGGAACAAGGTTTTCAAAACCTTCCTGTGTATTAACTTAAACTCCACCACTTGTTTGAAAGAGAAATGTTGCTTTTTTTCTTCTTCCAATGGATTATTGATAAGGTAAAATCAGATTTTGCTTTGGGGGCCCACATGGATTTCACTATTTCTGTCACTGGCTTGATAACTATATTTAGCAGGACAGCATGCAAAATGCAATACAGAAAGTTAACCAAAGAACCTGTAATATTTAAATGGTATTATTTCCTTCTAAGGAGGAAATAACACAATCATAAGATGTTTGTATGTGAGGTCATAGCTCGGCCATTAGACTGACTTGTAATAATATAATTTTGGGGTCAACATTGTCACCCACAATATTACTGTAGTGACGCAGAGAAAAGCCAGGCCTTGACTGATCCTAGGGAGACCCACTTATCGCAATTGAATACATCTAGGACAGCTGCTCTTTGGTATTCCTGCATCTGACATCTTCCTCTCAGGGTGCTCCAAAGTTCTGGAGAGTTAATTAAAAAGCTTTTATTGAAATCAACCCCTGGTTGAATACCTTTAAGACCACAATTATTTCAAGTGCTCTCTATGAGTCATATTAATTCTACAGATGAAATATAAGGACTAAGACAGCTGTGGATAAATGTTCCTTGTTGCCCTCCTTTACAAGTGTGAATGGTGGTTCCACATAATCATTTTAGGGTTTTAGCTGAAACTAAAACTAGAATAGTTCCATTTTTCTGTTACATAATTATCAGGAGAATGGACACCAAAGCCATGAATATCTGAGAATATTCTCACAAGTGACATACATGTTAAACATTTCAATATGGGAATTTTACTGAAAAAAACATATTCTTTTTGTCACTTAAGGATACCCTGTATTTGTTTGTATCAAAAAATACTCTTTTCAAGAATGTTTTTCATTGTTAACTATTGATTTGTTACAAGAGGTAATACGATTTACTTAAGCTATCACCTGATGATGGACAATTAGAAAATTTCTAACTTTTCTGGTATTAAAGTAATATTTTGATATTTTATCTTTGCTTCATTTATTAGAACTTTTTAGAATATGTCTACAATGGGAATTAATAGATCAAAAGTTAGTAATTTTCCTACTCTTGACAGACAATAATAATTGTCTACTAGAAAGTTGGTCTTAATTCACATTTATTCCAGTGGTACTTAGAAATGCTTGTTCCTTCTGTTTTGCCAGTAATAGACACTAGAATTCCTACCACTCCTTCTTAAATATTTGCCAATTTCCTATTAAGAAAATGATTAACTTCTTATTTAAATGTACATTTTAAAAAGTATTAAGGTGAGCTTTTGTTCCAAAATTTTGGAATTTATATTTTTTTAAGTGAATTGTTCTTTTTTCATATTGAAATGTTCATTTCTTGGTTGTTGTTAATGTTTTGTAAGAGCTTTTTATTAGTGATTTTATGCTTTGTTACATATAGTTCCAGCTAACAATATGCCATTTAAATTTTAGTGTTTTTAGCTTAAAAATATTCATATGTTTATGTCATAAAATCTATCATAGTATTTCTTTCTACTTCCTCTAAAATATTTTTTTCTGGAGGCATGTAAATATCCACATATATTTTTGCTATTTAAATATTTTTTGTTTTCTAATTTTAATTATGTATCTCTTCTCATTAAAAAAGCCCTTTAAAGTGAAATTTGTGTTAACTCACATCTGAGTTTTAACTAAATTTCCACCATATTATGGTTTAGCGTTATTCAAATGCATGTGCTTCTTTGCATCCTGTAGAAATTTGGCTGCTTTTTATTTATTTTCTGAACACCTATCTTGTCAAAATAAATTACATTGAAAATGAAGTGAAAGTTTTTTAGATATGTCAATCATGCATCCCCTGAAAATATTAAATATAAATCATACCACATACTGTTGGCACTTCATACACTTCTAAAATTTTACAAAAAATTTGCTATTGAACTACAGTTGTTAACTATTCTTTTATATATTTCTATAGTTGATCCTTAAATATTTGGACTACAGAAAGATAACAAGTTTCCTCATTTCCAGTGGTACAAATAACAGTACCCTAAGATGTGTACCTTGCATATAAAACCTTTAACATGAATATCCCTTTGATATTAATAGCACACTTCTGGTTTTATGCCCGCAATCTTGAAGGGGGAACTGATTCCCAGAGCTAAAAATACCCGTATCTTCTGGAAAGACTATATTAAGGGAAACACAAGGAAAAAGCCCAGAGGAGAAACTAGTTCTGAATCAAACCTCACCGGTCCTCCACATCACCAACTCACTTTACTTCACTCCTAGCTGCATATGTTTTGGGGGTTATGAGGTTTGAATATTGGGTGGATTGACTGGAGAGTAAGCAGGGAAGTATTAAAACTATGTAGCTTACCACTCTTCAGAAAAACATAAAAACATTTCATAGTTTCAATAAGGGATTTCATGGTATGTTTTGTTGTAAGAATCTGTGAAAAAGAGATACAGTTGGTGGAATATGGCTGTCCTGGAAGCTTCAAGAAGTCGAAGTACTGTTACAACGAAACAAGTTCCCATGCCCAAAAGAAGATGAATACAATCCAGAAATAACAGACTTATCATCCAGTGGCACTGAGGCCTGGTGAGGCACCCTACGAGCTTTTACTCTCCTGGTAGCTTCTCTACTTCCTGTGAAAGAATGTTTTCATGTACAGAAAGGGAGAGATTTAAATGTGCCTCATGTGGCTACAGGAGAGATCCAGCTGGGCGGCCATGTGACTTTGCCATTTAACTCCTCATAGTTTTCAGCCTCCCAAGACCTCTTCGTGCTGCTAAGGAACCACACTGCTCATTAAATATTCCACCAGAATGCTAATCCTCAAAAACATTACCACCTTTTGAGATAA